AGATGGATCCGATCCCAATTCCCCTCGTCCCATCACCTCGACTCGATAACAGCAGCTGTGCGCATCACTACGCATTGCTTCAAGGAAACTAATCCAAGTCTTGTTAGTCCGCTGCTGTTGACGCCTGCAACTAAGACACCACATAGTCCCACTCTGGCGGCAGAAGTTTCCATAGGCCCGGGATCAGCCACGCAGGTCTCAGGTTCTAGGGAGGTTCCAGGGCAGTCTTCCCAGTTATCATCATCAGAGACTTCCAGTTCTTCCGCCTTTCACCCATATGCCGACCATGGACGCCCACCAAGGAGCTAAAACGTCCTCGCCCGCAGCCCTTCTCCCTCTTCACAACCACGAGAAGACGGCACTCGGCAACAACAGCCCGCCATCCACACCCCGCGAACGCCTAGCTAGCGCTTCCAAGATGTTGTTCCCTCGACGCATCCTCTTATCTTTCTTGCTATGCGTGACCCTTCTGATCACTCTGGCATCGGCTACCTCTCCAAGGGTATGGCAAGGCGTAGGGCAAAGGCCCATGCCTTGTCACCATGGCCAGGTTGCGGATCAGACCGCGGTGGTGGAAGCCGAGCCTTTTTCCCTGTCGTCCATGTTGAAGGCAGCATCGCCGGAGGCACTGCATGATCTTCTCCACAAGTACTTCCCAGAGCGGTTCCAACATGGGGTGTGGCCGACCGAGAAAGAGGCCATACAGGCCGTCCATCGAGCAGACGCCGCCCTCGCGACAACCATCTTGCAACTGGCGAAGCGTGCCGATAACTCGACTTCATCGTCAGAACCGGCATCGTCTCAACCGAGTCCGAGCCCCAGCCTGACCCCTTCAGTATCTTCATCCCTTCCCGCGGTCTCGAGCAGCACACCTGTAGTCTCGTCGACTACAACCTCGCCAGGCAGCACAAGCTCGCCTTCTGCGAGTCCGTCCGTGACCTCGACTTTAGCCAGCCCCAGCCCCAGCTCCAGCTCCAGCCCCAGCTCAACCTCCAGCCCTACCTCCGGCTCCAGCTCCGGTATGTTCTCGAGTCCGACTGAAAGAACCTTGTTTCCGAGTTCATCTTCGTCTTTTGAGTTGTCGAGTCTCTTCATTCCGTCCTCAACTTCTCGGTCTTCATGGCCGTCCTCGGTTGATGGAGGTATGTTGACTTGTTTGTGTTGCGTTGTTGTTTTGTGCATTTTATAGCTGCACTGGATTCTGTCCATGTTCTCGTGCCGAAGCCTGGTGGAATTCTTGCTAATATCCTAGCAGATACTACAATGGTGACTTCAACTTCGGAATCTTCAGCGTCCCCTCCTGCCTCCAAGATGGTGGTCGAAACGTTCGTATCTTCCTCCAGTGGCAGACGCGTCACCGTTACTTCAACGAGCTGGGTGTCCAGAGATCCGGTTGTGACCACGACGTCAACAGCCTCGACAAAAAATGGCCCTACTCTCCAAAACACGGGCTCGCATCAAGAAAATCGCGGAGCGGCTCTCGTCGCTTTAGTAGGAGCAGTAATAGGGGCAATGGTAATGGTGTAGGCTATACGATGACGACTATATGGCATTTGGGCCATCAGTTGGAGTCTTTTTTTGTCTTTATGCATTGCGTTGGGTTGGCTGTATACATTCCTTTGCATCTTGGAGTTATTAAGGGCGGACATTGTCTTGGTCAAGACATTCACAGCATACCTCGTTTGGGGTCACGACACGATATCTGCCACATTCCAGGCGCGGTCATCTACGAACATTAGAGTTTACGAAACGGCAGCACAATCGGCTATTAGTGAGGAAACGGGCCGTAGAACGGTTCAAACGGAACAAGCTCGCTGCAACGACACTCAGCAATAATGATTAGACTGGAAGGGTTTAGAGGGAATCAAAACTGGGTAGCTAGCTAATAACGAACTTTAATAATCATCTCCAGCCTTGTTTAAGCTTGAGGTGAGTAAATGCTAGGGGTATGGGAGAGAATAAGAGAAGAGGGTTCATGTGGCTCAAGGCGGAAGAATGACGAGGAGGTGGGACGCACGCAGACGTATGAATATAATAATATCTAATTTTTTGGGTTTGCCATTGCTTGGTATGTGTATATTCTGTTTGTCTAGCCAGGTCCGATCTTGGGCATGTCGTGATGCTCGCTGAGACGCGACAGTGCCGAATTCAGCTCCTCTACCCGCTGCTTGTGCGTCTTGAGCAGCTCCGGCCGCACACGCCCTGATTCGGTGAGTTCCTTTAACTGTTCGTTGTCAGTTACATGTATTATCACGATGGGTTGTTGGGGGGCAAGGGGGCGTACCCTCTTGCGCTTGGCCTCAGTAAAGCGTCGCTCTGTCTCCGTCCTGGTGTCTCCCTCTTCCTCTTCCTTGTTTTCTGGTTTCGGCTCTTCTGGGTCTTGTGATGATCGGCGTTTCTTGCTTTTTGTAATGTTGGTAGTGGTGAGGGCTTGGGTTTTTTCGGAGGAGTCTACTGGCGGCGGCGCATCGTCTTCATCGTGACGCGTAGATCTTTTCATGTCATCTCCTCCTATCGAGAGCGCTTTCTCGAGATCGGAGGTCTTGTTGTGGTGGCTTTTTTTCTTCTTTTTGGTGACTTTGCTGCTGTTGCTGACGCCTTTCAGCTTCAGCGGCCCGCGCGTGACGGATGAGTATTCGTCCGCTGGCATAGTTGTAGTTTGTTGTTGTTGGATGTTGTGTGGGAATAGGTATGGGACTTATGTGTAATCGACCGCCAGCGGCGGAACTAGATGATGATGGTTGGCCGCCCACGCCTGTAGGCAGAGAGGTTGATTGCCCGGGAGCACAGACCTTGAATATGCATTTAGGAAGAGAGGGGTATGCAAGTCAGCGAGATATCAATTAAGGTTTGTCAATCGAGGCCCCACATCCAGCCCAGAAAGTGGGGCTATCCCCACAGCTGGCTTGGAAAGGGTATTTAACGACGCCCGATTGGATTCGATTTTTGCTCCTCTTTTTTTTCTTCTTTTTCTTTTCCTTAGATCAAAAAGTTTACACGAAGATGCCACGACCTTCACTAGTATCCCACGGTGTCGCGTTGCCTGACCTCCACGAGTTCACCTTCGGAGACAAATGAGCAATCACTCCTTGATAGGAAGTCTCTTGCCCTAAAAACATGGGTCTGAGATGCTGAAAGATTGGAGATAATTCCCTTTGCTTTCCTTGTCCCTCCCTATCTGCCTGCTAGTTCTGCCTTGATGTGTAGTCGCGCATCGGGTTTGATATGGGTAATGGGCTTCCCGCCTAGGTGACCATCCTTGCGGTTTTCATATTTTGCGATACGAGAGTTGTGTGTATCTTTCTGCCTCGCGCGGATGGGGGGTTGTTGCAAGAGATGGAAGTCTGCCCACAGGCTTGGACGGTGTTTTGCCGTCCCTCGGAAAAACTTGCTCGGTGCTCCTTCTTTTGTTCAGTCCTGCATCGCGTGTATCTTCGAAAGGCGTCGTGTCTTACAAAACTGCCATTATCCCCACAGAGAAATTCCGACAGACCGCTGTCATGTGCGGAATTCGGACCGGAGGTCTTCTCAATACCACACAATGCGGGCCGATCAATGGTCGTATGCTGCTGCGTATTGCCTGTCCAAACACCAGGGCAAATGATGATGAGGATGGAATGCAGCCCAATATCCTCCATTCCATGGCTCTTTCATTTTGACGATGTAATTGTCTATGATCCTGCAGTTATTAGGGACATGCGCGACTACACACGCGGGCGCCCTCTCGCGATCAGTCTCTCGTCTTTATAGGTTGGTAGATAGCAGTTTATTCCTACTAATGAGCTTGATTTGGCTCTTTTCCCTCGTTTCCTCTCAGAATTCTGGTCTCTGGACAGGTCTTTTATAATTTATGAAGTTTATGGAAATTATCACGCTATCAGCCAGAAACATCCTTTCCTCAACCCATTATTCAAGACTTGATGTTTATACATAATTACCTACGGAACAAGGGGGCACTCTCAACAGACACAATGGCGTTAGTACATAACATATATGTCTCGAGGACGACAAGACCATACCAAACTGACAAGTAAACACCCTACATCCACAGAGGCTGGGAAGCCGTAGAATATTACACCACGTCGAGCTTTTAGTCGTGCTAGCCCATAGACCAAGTCTACACCAAGTCATATTACGTCACATACCCGGCAGCGTGCGAGACCAAGGGCCCGTAGCAGGCGACATACACGGTCGAAGAGGAAGGCACCGGCTCGCCCGAGACGTGGACACAGCCGGCCATCCTGCCCAACTTTGTCGTCACCACCGTCACCCAATCGCTGCTAGGCGATGATGGTGCCAAGAAGACGCACACGATTACCTATCCCAACGCGCTGGACACAGCCAAAGCCGTCATCCACGGCAATGGCGTGACTGCTACCGTCGCCCTTGTTGCGGGTCTCCCCGTGGATCGTCATCAGGAGGATGCTGAAGATGGTGATGCTGCGTCTCCTGGTTCCAACACCCACCATCCCTCTGTCGGTGGCCCATCAGGCAATGGTGGTCCTCCCGGCCCAAACCCAGCGGCCATAAATCACGGAGGAGGAAACACCGGTGGTGGTAATAATACTGCACCCGGTGCTCGACCCGAGGGGCCGGCAGCAACTGGAAAACCACCCGTCGTCACCACAGGCGCCTCCTCGTCACATCCATGTCTCAGCTTGAAGACGGGCTCCCTTTTTGTTGATGGGGCTTTTTACTTTGCCCATGCGATATTTACTTTTTGCTTAAAGCTTCACATTCGTTTTCTCTGGCGCTTTTTTGGTTGTTCTTTTGGAAGCGGCTCATGATGGTTGGCTGTGATCGTTATTAGACTGGATCACCGACTGCAAAGAGCTTCAGGTCAATTTCCAGGTACTTTGTTGGCTGAGTTTGACAATTTTTTCCCACAAAGTTGAGGGGAGTTGTTATTGAACGGAGTTTTGTCAATGAAATCATGGATGGTACATACTTGAGGGGTGTTGGCGGCCGGCATAAATATCGATTATCAGGATATTGCAATCGGTTGTGTAGTGTAGTGGTTATCACTTTGGATTTTGATTTGAGTCCTAGTTCTCTTAGAAACTTTCCAATAACCCCGGTTCGAACCCGGGCACGACCTAATTCGTAACCATTTTTGCCATTCCTTTTTATCACTTCAGAACATCCACCAAGCGGGATGGTTCTGTGGAGTTTTCGTTTTGTCTTTTTATCAAGACTCGTGGATAGGAACAGTGGAATATTGCAGTTGGTTCATAGGATATCTAGAGAGGAATGAACATAAGATAGGTATCTAGATTGTGTCGAGCCCAATGCTCGACAGGTAGACATTGTGCTGTGCGATAAATATCATTCGTTGTTTCGCATTATGGAAAAACATCAACCACCAGAAATGGAGTCGTAACATGAGTAAGTCCAGAAAATGAATGCCAGTAACAAAAGATTTTACTTCTTGCCTGCCTTGCCCCATATAATAAAACAAAGTTTACCCCTTTTACCAATGACTCGGGACGAATCCCTAAGAGGTCTGGTATGATTATTCATCCAATGAAGACAGTACATCCTTGCTGCGGTGCTGGTCGCGGACGAATTCCTCAATCTGGGTGTCATGCTCTGGTCGGTTTGGTGGCCCCGAAGTGGCGGCCTGTGGCGCTAGGGCTGGCTTAGGTTCCTCGTGGCCGAGCGCTCTGCCGACGGCAGGGATGTACTGGGACACTGTTTACTTGTGAGCTGCGAGACTATGAGGCGAAGTCGTAAATGTGTAGGTATTTAAGAAAGAAGAAGCCATGGGATTATCACTCACCCTTATCTACAATGGTGCTGGCAGTGCTACCACCTTGCTCGTTGTCATGCGATGTCACCTTATCCTTCACCCCAGCCGCGGCCTTGTCAAGCTTTGCCTTGTAGGACTCGACATTCTCGCGGCTGCGGTTCTCGTCCAGGCTGTTGCTGGTGTTGGTGGCTGAGGACGAAGAGGCCATGATAACTGTTACTGTGGGGGGCTCGAGCCTGTATCGATAGGCGGCGAGATGGCGAATATAGAGTTTTAATAAAGGGGTAGCGTAGGTAGTTTTTGAATGGCAAGATATAATAGGTACATCAATTGCAGTGTAGACGGAGCGTTCTCATGGAGCTACCTAACTGCTGAGGTAACGAGGTAAATGCCCTTCATTGAGCATGACGTCACCGGTTGCCAGTCTGATGAACGACTGACATTCCTTTGTGCAGATGACGGCAAACGCCGGTGCCTTTCCCCCTTTAATTTTGCGTCTATAATTCACCTTCTGCAGAGCTCCAACAGAAAGCGCTGACTTCTTCTTAAATGATCATGTTCATATCGGACAGCAATTTCAGTTAAATGGACATATACACACTGATGCCAGCGCCCTCGAGCATTCGGGACGTAATAGGGGAAGGAGGAGGGCAGACAGGGCGAACAGGGGTGGATAACCTTAAATCGACTTGCGGCCGGCGGCGGGTTATCGCAGCCACAGCGACTCGGTGCCCAGCGATTTCGCTGTCGCCAAAGAACCAAGTGGCGCGAAAACAACCATCACAGCCCCCCAAAACCCCTCAAGTTTAGCTGTGGCAGGTGAATGACAGCTTTATGACCGACGGAGTATAAAATTCGATATTAAATAAATCCCAGGAGCACAAGGATTAGGACCAGAGAAGAAAAAGAAGAGTACAACCCAGAAAAAAGAACAAAAATGGCGGCAGCTCCGATCCCCATCACGATTATTACCGGGTTCTTGGGCTCGGGGAAAACGACACTAATCCTCTCCTTGCTCCCGCAGCTGCGCGCCGCAAACCCAGACTACCGACTGGCGCTGCTCAAAAACGAGTTCGGCGACCTAGCAGTCGACTCGCAACTGGCGACGTCGGGGGCCATCTCTGGCGTGCAAGAGCTCCTCAACGGATGCATCTGCTGCAACCTGGTCGGGCAGCTGAGCACGGCGCTGGCGGAGCTGCGCGCGTCCGTAGCTCCCGACCGCATTGTGATCGAGACGAGCGGGTCCGCGTTCCCCGCGACCCTGGCCCTCGAAATCAACCGGCTGGCGCGCGAGACGGGCGGCGCGTACGCCCTCGACGGCGTCGTCAGCGTGCTCGACGTCGAGAACTGGAAGGGCTACGAGGACACGAGCTACACGGCGCGGATTCAGGCGCGGTACACGGACCTGATCGTCTTCAATAAGTGGGAGAGCTGCGGCGAGCGCCGCTTCGACGAGTGCCTGGACCGCGTTGGCGATCTCGAGCTGGACGTTGCCTGGGTCAAGAGCGACAAGGGCTGGGTGTCGATGGACCTGGTCTTTGGCATCGACGGAGGCCTGGCGCAAGGGCTGACGGATGATTACCACAACGGGGGCGGCAGCCATGATCATCACGACGGACATGATAAAAAAGATGATGATCACAGCCACGATCACCAATCCGAGGTGGAGGTGCTGTCCATCGAGCTCAAGGGGCCCAAGGGCGCCGCCGTGGACGCAAACAAGCTCCAGACCCTCCTGAAGAGCGCCCCCAAGGATGAGGTGTACAGAATCAAGGCCGTGCTCACAGCGTCCTCCGCAGTCCGGGACTCGGACGAGGACGCGGCACTCCCAACGCCGCCAGGGGAACACCCGCACAATAGATATATTCTAAACTGGGCATTTGGTCGCTGGACGTTCACGCCCATCGCCGGCGAAGTTGCGGAGCACGAGTCCAGCAGCGAAGCGATCCTGCGCATGACCATGATTCTGGCGAGGCATGAGAGCACGAAGTGGAAGAAGAAGCTAGACGCCGGCGCGCTGTTGGCATTGGCTGGGAGTCCTGATCAGGAAAGCCTTACAGTTGCCAAGATTGCGTAGCTAGTTGCATAGATGGGGGCACTTAGAGACAGCATCATCTGCAATTAGAAAAAATATAAATTATAATACTTATGACTAAAACGTCCTGGTTAGATTCCGACAGGAGATAAAAATTCGCAAGTAGGAAAAATATACTTCATAGTATCAATAGTAAGAGAGGTATATCGAAAGACGGGGATGATGTATTTAGCCCGCACGGTGAGTGAACATGGGAATGCGGTGCACCAGTATAAAAAGAACCTGTGAGCGGCAAATGCAAACGCTACCACTTATGTACCTAACCGTTGCGAGGCCATGGTACTGTTCCTATTCCCGAGAAAAATTTATTCTCGATTTCTGTCGATGCTTAGCCTGCCCTCTCATTCTACTCATAATTACAACACATCCTTTTTCCGATTTGATCCTCTCTGCGCAGTTGCCCAAGATAGGCAGGTTGATGTCCTACTTGTACTCATCATATATGCTCGCAAAAATATCCGCATCATGCGGATTTTTCCGACGAAGACGGTCGAATTCCCGCCGCTGCTCTGGTGTATGCCAGCATTGGAAATGTTGATCATGAATGGCCCATAGCTGCTGCCATGTCCTTCCGGGGGTCGTCGGGGTCATGGGGGTCATAGGACTCAGCGGTTGCTGGCTTGTTGGGCTCAGAGACTGGCCGAATGGGCTTGCTAGGCTGACTTCGTGTTGCTGCGACGATTCATGTGGGGGAGTGGGAGGGGGCGGGTGCTGGTGTACTGCTGCGTATGGCGGGTATTGTTGGCGGTGGTGGCGATCCGCGGCGGCCGTTTGGTATTGCTGCTGAGAGTATAGCGGGTGCTGGGGGTGCGGAAGCTGGTAGGGGAAATATTGTGACTGTTCTGTAATTGAAGAAGATCCCGCTTGGAACTTCTGTTGCGGGCGCTGGGGGTACTGCTGCCGACCAATCTGTTCTGGTGGTGGTTGTTGCCAGTGGTCGTAGTGGAAACCAGCAGGTGTTGGCTGTTGTTCGAGCCGATTATGCTCTGCTTCCGTGTATGTTCCCAGCGATGCCCCCTGGGCGAAGAGCTCAGTATTATTTATATTGATAAGCATATTTTCCACTTTCTTTTTTCCATCTTGGTCGAGTAACACCCGTTCGTTAAACGACGGCGGTGGTGCGACGGCTGGATTTGATGGCCCGACGACGACTCCTCTCTGCCGCTGCTGGCTATAGTCTGGCTTTTTGTCTGAATCCGCAGTCTTGCTGGTGCTTCTCTGAGGGATCACAACGACTGGCATTATCTTTGGCTGAAAGCCCCCCGAATATCCGATTTCTTTTTCTTTTCCTTTCGCCGTGGGGTTATGGTCTTGCACTTTCGGCGACGGCGGCGGCACGACCGAACTTCTTGGTCTATCGTCATCAGAGGCCAGCTCAAGGGCTGGGGGAGACTTTAGGTATGCCCTCTCCCTCAAGGGCCCTGGAGGTGGCCGCCGTTGTGATGCCTCACAACGGTTTGAGCAGCTGCTCTTTTGATTACCTTTTGGCCCATGACCCCTTCTCATGTAGTGCCTAACCATCTCTCCCAGATTATCATTTTCCTTTACCGGAGAACTGGCCACACGAGCCTCCATACTCGAGTTGCTCCGCTTTCTTCCGTTATCAATCCGAATCACACTGTGATCGCTGCTGGAGCATGAGCTGCCCCATTTGTCGTCGTCGATATCGTCATTTACAGAGAGTCCGTTAACAGCCGGAGCAGCGTATGCGCCGCCATTGTCTGTACGGCTTTTTCTCTTTCTCCCTCTTTCGACGTCGCTGCAGTTACTGCTGGTACTGCTTGTCCAGCTGCTACGGAGTGGTTGTGATTGTGGTTGTGGTTGAGCTTGTACTTGGCCTCTATTGTTGTCTGACACCAGGCTTGGTGATTTTCTCACAACTTCTGGCTCTGTAGCTATGAGACGAGCTTTTCTGACTCTGGAGTATCTGCTACCGGGGCTTGGAGACCCTCTTGTGGGAAATGGCGGGTCCTTGCCTCTGCGCAGGGATCCTGTAGAGCCATTTGCAGGGCCTGGAGATTCCCTTATAGGAAAAGGGGGATCTTCCCCTCTACGGAAGTTTCTTCCATCACTCGGTGGTGGCGGTTTGTTAGTCCGAATCATGGGGGGAATGAATTGCAGTGGCTTGGGGTTCTGTTGCTTCTCCTGCTGCTCTTTTCTTAGCCGAGAATCGTTCTCCTCGATAAATCTTACTCTTGTGCGGCTTCCTTCTCGACTGCTATTCTCGTAGTTGACATTATCGTGGTCAGGAATA